ATCGGTCCACGAATAATGATAGTTACCTCTTGTAGTTCTTTGCTTTTTTTATATACAGGATGTTCCAAAAATATTTCGTAATCCGGAAATGGAGGGTTCCTGAGATCATTTGAAGTAACTTTTTCCTTAACAAAATTGCAATCCGCGGGATTGCAGGAACTGCAAGGTGGACAAGCCAGTGAGCGGAACTTGTCTTCGCTCCGCGCGACGGAAAGAGGGGGCTACGCTCAAATTCCATACTGCGTTTGAAGTAATGGACAAGTCACGGAGCGTAAACTCTTCGATTCTTTTTTTTACTACGTGGCAGTGATAATTATAAGAAAAACGCTATTTATTTTTATTTTAGAATGTCAGAAGAATATATAGTCGCGTGTCTCCCCCTGTATCGCCGCCAATTCACGTCCACTTACCAAAGGACGAGTGCTATCGCATGTTGCTCAACTATTCGATCCGCTCGGATAGCTAGAACCACTCATCATCCAAGGAAATATGTTCTTCCAACATCTATGGGAAAACAACCTTGATAGAGATGACCAGCTGCCACCGTCACTACGACCCAGTGATCAGCACTGATCGCGGAGATAGGGGCACTGTATCGCATCCGCATTCCTTGATGGCTAAGAGAGATAGCAATCAGTGCTGCCCATCAGCTTCACGTCTTCGTAGATGCATCGGAAAAGGCCTACGCTGCTGCAGCGTACTTACGTAGCTATGACTCACACGGCTCTCCACTGATTAATCTTCTGGCCGCAAAATCCAAGGCAGAGCTCCTTTGAAAAGGGTGTCACTTCCACGACTGGAGTTCCACGGAGTTCCACCACTGGACTTTCACGCCGCAATCCTCGGCGTTCGCTTCTTGACCCACCTAAGCCGGGAACTTCATCTCGAAACGGAAGTGATGCTCCTATGGTCAGAGGAGAGCCAATCTATCTACGTTCTCAACAGAGTATTCGAGGTCCAGACAACCTTTTCGGATCTCTGTTTTCACCATGTCAAGTCCCAGGACAACCCCGCTGACTGTGCCTCTTGCGGAATTTTGGCTCAACAGCTGACAGATCACCCGCCATTCGATACTACCAGCGAAGAGGAAAAGCCCATGCCGATCTGTTGTCATGGCATCGCCACATGGCCCACCTGATCCAGATCACCGCGATCATCTTCGATAAACAAATCCTGGATGAACAACGACCATTATTGCCCAGCACGTCCTCATTACGCTCCGAAGAACTTTGTCGGAGCGAGGAGTGCTGGACCAGACTGGCTCAACAGCACCACTACGGAGACGTGTTCGCGTCACTACACGAAGACCGAATCCCCTATTCGCTCCAGCCGCCTCGGAGCTATGGTTCCGTTCATACGTAACCATGGCCTTCTAAGTGTGAGGGGTCGGATTTAGCTATCACTTCTTACAGTATTGCTCACTTTGGTGCATCTTCTCCAGAGATTTTGGCTCCCTCAAAGCCGAAGGAAAGTGAAGAGATATATCGTACGCTGTCAACGGTGTCTCCAATGGCAGGCGGCCTCGGCTACGTAACGCATCGGAAACCTGTCGCAGCACTACATATTCCCGTTGTGATCATTTCTTCACTCAGGAGTGGACTATGTGAGCCGCATTCGGCTTAAAACCATGCCCGGGCGTGGCCATGAGACCACTGCGGAACCAATTTTGTCGGAGCTGATAGGGAGCTTCAACGACGGTTCACAGCATCTGCCAAGGAAACAGCCACATTATCCCACCAACTCTTCAAAATCGACGTGGTCTGGAAGTTTATTCCTCCAGGAGCTTCACATTTCAGTAGCCTTTGGGAAACAGTAGTGCGCTCCGTGAAATATCACCTGAGGCAAGTCGTAGGCGAGGATCCCCTCACTTACGAGGAAGTCAGCACCTTCCTCGTCCAAGTAGAGGCCTGCCTGAACTCCCCGACCGCTCCAGCCATTAACAAACGATCCCGAGTACCTTGCCCTACCGACGCCAGGTGGCCCCATCATTCCGGTATCCGAAACATCGACGGACCTTCCCACCTCCATGATGTCCCGGTAGCAACACATGCAGCGCCGATGTGGACACTTCTGGTGGTGGTGGTCCGCCGAGTATCTGCACCAGCTCCAAACCTGTATGAAGTGGACGTCGATCCAGCCGTCCGTTGTCATCGGGAACTCCGTCCTTATCAGATCTCCACTGCCGCGATGGCCATCGAGATCGACTCCGACGTCGAGGTCCACTCCGAAGCTGATTCCTGCGTCCGTGTAGTCACTAGCCAATTCAAGCGACCGGTGACAAAGCACAGCTTGCACCGACATGGAACCGACCTATAATTACATTCTCGCGATTATCCTTCGGTGCATTTTTTCATAATCGACGACAGCTGAAGACAGGTGGAATGTCTAAAATCAAATCGCTGAATTTTCCGATCACAGTCGATCATCTCGTTTTTATTCGTGCTCCTGGGTCGGTTTTTAAGAACGCTAGCGCGATGTTTGAACTCAACTCGCCAGCCCAGGTGAACAACCAGTTACCGTACACACTAAACGATCTCCTGTTTATATCGTCGCGATGTATTTGTCGTCTGGGCCATCCTCCCAATATCAAATTCGTTATCTATTGGGTTGGCAACTAAGTAATTGCCGATTTCAGTTATAGATGTCTCTTAGTCCCATTTTTATGATATCCGTAAATGTTATATTATAAAATTATTATTATTATTATTATTATTATTATTATTATTATTATTATTATTATTATTATTATTATTATTATTATTATTATTATTATTATTATTATTATTATTATTATTATTATTATTATTATTATTATTATTATTATTATTATTATTATTATTATTATTATTATTATTATTATTATTATTATTATTATTATTATTATTATTATTATTATTATTATTATTATTATTATTATTATTATTATTATTATTATTATTATTATTATTATTATTATTATTATTATTATTATTATTATTATTATTATTATTATTATTATTATTATTATTATTATTATTATTATTATTATTATTATTATTATTATTATTATTATTATTATTATTATTATTATTATTATTATTATTATTATTATTATTATTATTATTATTATTATTATTATTATTATTATTATTATTATTATTATTATTATTATTATTATTATTATTATTATTATTATTATTATTATTATTATTATTATTATTATTATTATTATTATTATTATTATTATTATTATTATTATTATTATTATTATTATTATTATTATTATTATTATTATTATTATTATTATTATTATTATTATTATTATTATTATTATTATTATTATTATTATTATTATTATTATTATTATTATTATTATTATTATTATTATTATTATTATTATTATTATTATTATTATTATTATTATTATTATTATTATTATTATTATTATTATTATTATTATTATTATTATTATTATTATTATTATTATTATTATTATTATTATTATTATTATTATTATTATTATTAATATTATTATTATTATTATTATTATGTTATTTTTTATTATCCGTGAATGTTGGCAACTGGACAAATTGAATGCAGCGGTCAAGGAAAAGCGACCAGAATTGGTCAATCGTAAAGGTGTCATTTTCCACCAGGACAATGCTAGGCCGCACACGTCTTTGTCCACTCGGCAAAAATAGATGGATATTGGTCGGGAATTGATGTTACACCCACCATATAGCCCTGATCTCACGCCATCGGATTACCACTTATTTCGATCCCTGGACAACTCCCTTCGTGGTAAAACTTTTAATGATGATGACGCTGTAAAATCTCACTTAACTCAGTTTTTGGCCGAAAAGGATCAGACTTTCTACGAGCGTGGAATTTTCAAGTTGTCAGAGAGATAGCAAAAGGTCATCGAACAAAATGGAAAATACATTACAGATTAAACTTCATTCCAAGTAAAAACAAAATTTTTTATTTCATTGAACAAATCGGCAATTACTTAGTTGCCAACCCAATATTTTCCGTTGACTTCCATGCAGCGCTGTTTATTAAAGCATTGCCCTCGTGTCCTTCCAATATTCAAAAACCTCACTCCTTTTCCTTTCCTAACCGACAGCCCACAGCGATATAAATAGGTCAACACATTACGATCGAACTGGTTACGCTTGTAATTTCTCTGCGCTTGCAGTCTAGTTTCTGTCTATACTTTTGCTCTTGCAAACTTCGCTACAACTTTGTAGTATTAAATCAATCGCTTGGTCGTATCATTCGTGTGCTTCATAACACATCACTACATTCTGTATCAAGTCATCATTTTATTGTACATCTTCTTCTCGAGTATTGATATAATTTTTAGAATATATTTCGTTTTATTAAACCAGCGTTTTTCACCATACAGTGCGGCTGTGAAACGGTCGTTACGGTTAAACCGTTAGTAAAAAGATTCAAAAGTCCACGCTCTGTGACTTGTTCATTGCTTCGAACGCGACCCGAAACCTGCGCATAGTTCTCTCCTTCCGTCGCACCTCGTGGTCGAAGCCTGTTCCTATCTCTCTCGCTTCACCATCTTGCAGCAACTCAGCTCGCCTCTCATCGGTCACTGTTTTTCCTTATTAACCCGTAATTATTTATCGCTTTATAGCAGCGAATTGCATTTTCACTAAGGAAAAAGTTATTTCGAATGACCTCAGGAACCCCTATTTCTTGATTGCAAGACATTTTTGGGGCACCCTGTACAATCACGGTTACAGAATTAATTTCAAACTGTACCTTTCTTTAAAAAAAAAGAAATAAAGGGTGAAATTATATTTTCATTTCTTTCCGGATTTTTAAACATTTCTCCATCACTATAAAATTGCATCTATTTAAAAGAAATATAAAAAGTGTAGTCAAATAACATCTCTTTTAAATTGGAATGTTTTCTATTTATTACTCCAATGTCATCACTGTGTAACGCCGAGGTTCGTGCTCGACGGGGAAACAGACGAATAAATAATTTAGTCTCGCGCAGATTTCAAAGATAACAAAAGGGAACATTTATTCAACGAAATCTTAATCTACGTAGTACAAAAAATTCTAGCTGTACTAAACTAAAGAACAAAAGGAACGCGTCCCAGCTAAGGAGCTGAATACGCCAGCTCCCTTTCTGCACGGTGCGTGCTGATAATAGACGAGTCGTTGTACTGGCCTCGCTCCCTCTCCACCAGCCGCTTCCCCAGCTCCTAAGATTCCATAGGAGGAGTCCCGGCTATTTCAGTTGTTCCTTAGGTCGGTAAGTTTGCCGAGGAAACCGAGCTCTAAAATAAGAGACCAACGTGTTAGGTGTTGTTGGGTGAATTAAGGAGGGGAAAGAAGGGGTTATACATATATTTGTACCCCGGGTATTCGTTCATCCGAAATCGGGCACGTTGATCTGCGTTACAGTAATTCCCCATACTCTTTCTGCGGTGGTTTCTGCGGCCCGTAGCAGAATTATTTATTGCCGGTGGCTGCTCTGTGACGGCGACCTGGAAGTAGTTGGGAGATAGAAGCCTCTGCAGCCCTAGGACTCCATGTGCCAACTCGTGGGAGTCTAGCTGCAGGGTCTTCTCTCCGGGGGCGTCGTTCATCAGGCTCAGCTCATTGGATGCCCATTTCTTCAGATTAAACCCGCCCACCGTGAGCAGCTGGTACAACTCCTGTTGTAAAGAGCGGGCCTGGTTGTATGTGGGCGCTCCTGATAAGGCATCGTCCATATAAATGTCCAGCCCTACAAGGGCCAAACGTCAGCTGCTGATGGCAATGAACCGTCAGGTAAGGAGCACAGGCCAACCTATAGGTAACGGTCGTGAGGTGGTATGACCGTTCCTCTGCTTCTGGCTTGCAGCTCCAACGTCGATCTCCTAGTTATAGCAATACCTGTCTGAACATCTTTTCAACATCGGCCGTCGAAGATCATCGCATGTCGTCAACAACGGAGTAACACATAGAAGAGCGGAGGGAGGACGTTTAACTCGGTAAATAAGAAGTCATTGAGGGACTTACCCGATAAGGTAGCCATAGAGCCGTTGAAGACCATCCTAAATTTGGTAGTCGTGCTAGAGGTCTTCATTACTCCATGATGGGATAGGTAATAGCACGGCTCGTGGTCCGCCATGAAGTTACGATAGGCATTCTTCAACGGCGGATCCCATACAAAGCTTCAGTGCACGAACCTCAGAGAGCACAATGCTGTGCCTCTAGAGTCACCCAGTTGTGGTGTCTCGAGGAACGGTAGGCGGATCACATACCATCCGTCGTTAGCTCGTCGGTATGTCGTCAGGAAGTGATCCTCACAGGCTTGCTCTTCAGTGGTGAATAGGATCTCCTCCCTTACTTCTTCCTGGTCCCGAAAGCGTGACAGCGCATCAAATAAATTTCGGTCCACAGCGTGGTGATTACGGCGAGTTACGAACAGAGGATGCAGTGACTGTCTGGATAAAGACCCACCCTAATTTCCTGAGCCTCCTAAGCTACGGGATCGGTGAGTTCGCCCTTCAGTATACCACGCTGTAGGATCCGGTTGTAAACATCCGCACCTAGAAGGATTCCTACCGGATCTGGCTCATAGTAACGTGGATCCGCGAGGGTGATCTCATTCAGGTAGTGCCAACCCCGGTTGTCGGTGTGGCACTAGGGCAACTAAGACAACTCGGGCAAGGTGTAAGTCTCAATCCGGACACATGATTCCTGAGGCAGGGTTGAAGTCAACTGCAAGATAGCGCGTCCTCTTATGACGCAAAAGCGTGACCCTCCTACCCCAAGCAGAGGAATCTTGCCGTCTTTACGGAGAAGTGTTAGCCGTTGCACCAGGGATTCTGTAATGAGCGACACCTCACTTCCAGGATCGATGAGGATCCGCACCGTCTCTATCGCACCTCCAGAACCCTCGACGATCACTCTTGCGGTACTAAGTATTACTGACATAGCTCGTGGTCGAGGAAGAGCCGCATGCTGCAAGAGCGCCGTCTCCTCACTCAAATAGGCCTCGTGCAGGACCGTGTGTCGGTCAGAATACCTCTGGCACTGTTTGGTATTGGAGCATTTATCCAAAGTGTGCTTGCCCAGGCAATTGGTGCATAGCTGTCTGGACTTCACTGTGCTCTTCCTCTCAGCGGCAGTCTGCTTCTTAGATTGAGGACAGTAAAGAGGGAACTGCGTGCCCTTGCGAAGATGGCAAACGTTAGCAGCACCCTGAACTACCTGACGGACTCCAGCGCTTTTCGCGGTCGTTCCCTTCCTGTCGTCCGAGCCTCCAGATCGTGGATGTTCTAGCCCCTCGACGGAGTGAATGCGTCCCTCCAAGAACGTCCGCAGCTGCTCCAGCGTTGGCAACTTGGTGATGCTTTCAATATGTCGCTCCCACTCTCAGCGTGTTAGGCGGTCGAGTTTTCCCACCGTGAGGTAAACAACCCAGACCTCGGAACTCTGGACGGGTCGTCCGAGTTCGGCCAAGCTATCACCAGCGTCTCAAGTACCATCCAGTGTTCGAACAGAATTCAACGAATGATTCGCAAAGCTGATTTAATAATAAATAATCGCGTTAAGGGACGTAAAGCACTTGTTTATTAGAGAAATATGAAAAATATTATCAATAAGAAACTCACCCATTTAGTTGAGGATGCATTTGCTGACTCGTACGCACTGACCTCGTACAACGTACAGCTAATCTCAGGTCGATGACCGCAACATTCGAGGGATACTCTCGAAGGAACCTCTGGTATGGTTATTTGCGAAGTTCATTTACACTGCACTGTCAACAAACACTGATCACTTAATTAATGTTTAGTTATGGAGTGTGTTCTTGTAAATAACTGGTGCGTGCGGTGTAACTATTAACTTTATTTATTAAGTTGCGTAGAATCACTTTCGGGTAGCGTGACGTCGTAGCAAGAGAGGTATGAGAAGTATGAGAGGTGAGATAGGTATCAGAGGTATGAGGAGTATCAAAGGTATGAGGGCGAGCGTCTCACTGCTGCTCTTTTTATATTATCCTGTTTGCCCCCGGCAAGGGCTCTGGACACCCCCTGATTGGTTGACCCGCGAATGGGTTTTCCCAATCAGCGTTGTCCATCTCCTTCTCACCGCGTTGTCCCTTACGCCCTGAGCGCGTCCCGTTTTGGGACCGCGTGGTGATTGGAGTGGGTGCTTTTTTATGATGTAACGGTCTGGGTTTTCCTCAGGGCTGTTGCGCTCGGACGTCCGGCGTTCGGGTCCGTTTTGCGTGCCCTTCGGAATTTCC